AAAAGAGGGCCTGGAAGGTCCTGACTTCTGGGTCGGGCCCTGCTGCTGTGTTTAGCTGCCTCCATCGTAGGTTTGTTAAAACATAGCATTATTCTTAAAAAAAACAAAACCACACACACATTAAATTAGATCCATGAATAATAAATTGACTTTTCTCCTTTTCTTTCTGACCACCAGCCCACAGGTGTAAGGAATCCTGAACTTGAACGAAATGGACTCTACCCGGCCTACACTGGACTGCCGGGGTCACGGCACTCGTGCATCTTCCCTGGACAGTATAACCCATCTTTCATCAGTGATGAGAGCAGGAGAAGAGACTATTTCTAAGTGCGGAAGAGAGAGGGAGGGCCCACTGCTCTGAGCAACTTGCGGGATCTCGGCTGCTCAGAGTACTGTACCAGGGGGGCCCGCGAATACTGGCTGCTCCCAGGACTCGCGGAGCCACATGTGAATGGCAAGCAGGAAGCGGGACAGGCGTGAGGGGCGTAACCACAGTGGAAGGAGACAGATGGATGCGGGGACGTGGAACTGAGGGCTGCTTGTTAGGCACCTTCACTGTTACTGTGAACGTGAACGTGGGCCGGTACCAGGAGTCTCTGAGTTCAGCAGCCGCCACCGGCCGAGGGCTGACTGTTAGCCAGGCACATGGTCAGGCACCTTCACCAGGACCTAGTCTTTCCTCAGTTTGCACTTTAGTAAATTGGATAGGGAGGTCTCCTTTCGGATTTGTTTCAAGACTGTTCCAGAAAGAAGGCCTCTCTTCCTCAGACACTTCCATAGGCCTCAGTTGGGTGGTGGTTAATTTACGGCAGAGCACTGGCTCTTTTGTTGTGTTCCTGCCCAGTATCTACATGCTCAACAACAGATGACGATGATAAACATACCGCTAAGGTTTGGAGATGCTGTAGGGGAACATACAGTATTTTCGTGGGCTTCTAGGTCTCCTGCAGTTTCCAAGCCCACCCTCAAAATGAGGAATTGAAATTTATGAGGCACAGCACACACTCCACTTTGTTTTTCAATCAAGGTGACACGTTTATTTAGGAGTATTTTTTCCCTCTGCAGTTACATTCCACTTTTTCAAATAAGTCTGGACCCGGGCAAAACAAGCTCCACGTGGTTTTCAGTAGAGGTGCCCCCTGCCTGTGGTGAGGCCCAGCAGGCAGCAGTGGGCACAGGCGCTGGGCGAGGGCCCTGGTGGGGGACTCTCAGAGCTGGAGGCGGTGGGGTGCTTCTCGTCCCTGAGCGCCTCGCCCCCCACCTTTGAGGCCCAAGTACTATGCGTATGCAGTAGAAATGGAGAGCAGAATGCAGATTGGGTCTGAGGGGCATTCCACCACTAATGGAAAAGCAGCCTGATGGAGTCTCCGCGGCTGAATGTGGTGAAAGGAGCAGGCTGATGGGGCACGTTCAGTTTCCTGAAACCCAGTGCTTTGGGAAGCCATGTGGGTTCCTGAGGAAGCCTAGGGAGCTGGGATAGAGCCACACGTCCCGTCTGTGAGTCTGCTTCCTTACTAGTGCAGCCTTCTTTGATTGTATCCCAGATCTTGTCCACTGACTCAGTGCGAACTTTCAACCAACTGCTCAAAGCTGTTTATTCACTGAATAACTTATTTTCACTCATGCAGTAATTTGTACCTCTTTATACTACTGCATGGTTCCCTCCAGAAACATCATTTAAGTCAGCATTGGAGAGCTAAAGACTTGTGGCCAGTTAAGGAGTTGAGAGTTTGCCTTTGGGAAGGAAATTCCACCTGTCTTGTTTATTATGCCTGCGAGATGGGTCCTGGGAGGAGGGGGCATACCCCGTACTCAGCGTCTTTAACTGCTGCTTGGGGAACTGCAATTGTTCTCATCATCTGCTTTTGAAACATCCTGTTTTGGGATGAGAACACAGTGGCAAAAGAATTGTTCCCATCCTGAAGCTTGGAGCTCCGTGGCACCTGCATTTATGGAAGCGGTGTAGCCTTCGGGGACAGTTCAGTCTTGGGTGTGGTTGTTTTCTCAGAGTTCTCTTTTTAGAATGCATCGCATCCTTATTCTTACGTAATCCTCATCCTACCAGTCTTAAGTGTCAACTCCTGTGTCCCGGGGTCTCCACGAGCCAGGAACACAAATCAGGTGTGATGCTTCTTAGTCGTTAAATTGCACTCATCTCCCGAGATATGCAAAGAATTCTGTTTTTGTCAGTGGATGCCGACTTAAAATTTCAGAGCCATCACCTTTCAGAATCCTTGGGTCTTGGATCTCTCTGGGGAAGCAAACAGCCCTTTGTGCCTCCTGGCCTTGCATCTAACTGGAGAGCTCTGAGCCCCTGCACTCCAGCTCACCGTAGCCGACAGGCTTGGCTGTCTCGCGAGTAGCCTAGCTTCCTGGCTCTTGATATTGATCCTTGCTCCTCCCAGGGACCCAGAGCCATGGCGGGGAGCTATTCCCAGGCTTACTCAGCTAAGGGTGTTGGATGACATCACAGCTGACAAATCATCTCCTGTGTCAGGACTAGAAGCTAGAAGTTACATAAAATGAAGTGTTCTGTCTCAAAAGCATTCTTGGGAAGAATCCCAAAGTCCAGAAAACAGTGTCCTGTGAGTTCCAAGAATGCTTTCCTGTGAGTACGTTTTGTGCACATGAAATGGATTAAGAATATTGTTTTTCATTTACTGTGAAAAAAGGAGGACCCGTACAATGTTAAGTTCATATGTATCTCATTTCTAGGAGGCTGTGGGGTTGGAGAAAGTGTATCTCAAAAGCGTGAGGGTCTAAGAAGGTATGCAAACAGCATGATTGTTATCCGGTGCCAGCTGCCACCCTGAGTGAGGAAGGGAGAGGCTGGCTTTGCCCCGGCCTGGGGTTAATACCTCCTAAAGGACCCTGCCTGGGCCTAGGGCAAACAACCAATAGGACAGCAGCAGCTGCTGGATTGAAGGGACAGGGCTGGGGGCACCCCTGGCAAGCAGAAGCTCTCAGCTCCGGTATAGGTGCTCGGTATCAGCCCCTGTACCTGGAATGTGTGATCTGTGCTCATAGAAATACCATGGTCCTGCCTCCCTGGGGCCCCACAGCTAGGGGAAGGTGGAAGGGAAAAGTGACACTTAACTGCTCTTGAGAGGCTTAAACTTCTGCAGGGAGAGCTGACTGAATAGAAACCATGCGTCCTGTAGCAAGCGAAAGCACTTTGCTGGGACTCTCAGAGCAGGATGGGACTCACCTGCCAGCCACCTGGCAACTGTGGGTTTTCTTTAAACTCCAGGGGCTCTTATTTCTCCTGTCTTTTCCTCTCTGCCCCATGAGTCAGCCCAGGACACTGGAGACAACTTACGAAGTCTACCTGTCACAGCCAGAATCTCTGGTGGTTCCCACTATGGCCAGGCTCTGTGCAACGTCCCTGGCCTCACTCACCACACCCTTGTGAAGTATGCATGAGAGTGTCCGTTTCTTGTACGTGTGAACTTCCAGAGAGGAAAAATATCTTGCCTTGGAGAGCCAGGATTCAAACCCTTCTCCCTGCCTTGCCATCATGGTGAATGCCTCGCCGTCTAAGTGTACCTTAAATGTCAAAGAGGGCTTGAGAGACTGGGCTTAAAATATACTTAAGAAAAAATAAATAACCTTAATATTATTAAGCATTAACTAAACTAATGAGATGAAATGCAAAAAAAAAAAAGTTGAATCCTTTTGGAAAAAGTCCTTTCGGGTTTGTTATTGCATATATTTCTTGGACACTTGAGGTCATCATTAATAGCGACTGGCTTGTGCTTAGCAAGAAGCATACTGGTGCGTGGCTTTGAGTGTAGGAAGGGTAAGGCGATGACCCAGGTTTCTGACAAACACAGCCAGACTTAGATGTCCATCTCAGGGCTGTTTGGCCTTGTTCCCATGGTAAGGCCATGGCTCCCACATACTGGAAGCACATTTTTGTGAACGTTATCAGAAATTGGGAACATATTCAGTTGAATGTCTTAAATGCTGACAAATCTTCCTTCTTTGACGAAATTTTATTTTCAGAAGCAGCTAAGTCATTTAGAGCCAAAATTGTTGAATGGGTTGTGTAATCAAGCTGGGTGATAGCATTTGAAATTATAAACAAAGATGTGAGTATTAAGCTCTTCAAGAGGTAATTCTTAAGAAGTTGGCCCAAACAGAAGGGCAGCATCTTTGCAAGACAAGGCAGGATGGCTGCCAGAGAAAATGTTTTTGAAGGACGATATTTTTCAGATGTCAAAGTTCCCAGAGCAGGCACATTAGGGTCATCCCTCACACGTGGCTTTGTGGGGCCTCCATGAAGCCATCTTGCCCACTGGTGAAGTGCCCAGGTGCGCGGTAACTCTGGGAACTTTGCCTGAAGAAGCCAAAGCTGAGCATTCTAGTTGCTCCTGGCTTAGGTCAGCCCAGTGTACCCCAAAGTAGGGTTGAGACCCATAGTTCTAAGATACTTACACTGATTTCAAAGCAAGAGTACTTCTTTGGAGACAGAAAGAATACAAAGTTCAGTATTTCCTATCTTTAAAACTGCCCTTAATATCAAAGATATTTTTCTATGTGAAGACTTGTGTGGAGTTAAAAGGGACCTGTCCTTTCCTCCTTCTTGACAAAGCATCATTCTGAGGCTCTCATGTGCCTTTTTGGAAGAGAGATATGGTTTTGTAGAATTGTCTTTTGAGTATGTGTTCTGTTTTTCTTTCTTTTTTTTTTTTTTTTTCTTAACTCCCCAGAGAAGGAAACTGGTTAAAATACTAGAAACATCAAAGTATTAAATGTCAGTGAATTTGTTGTGCTAAAATATCTTTTCAATAGTGTTATAATCCATCCTAGTTGGTGTCAACTGCTCACAGAAAAGCCTGTGAAACCAAAGGGGACAATTAAGGTTTACAAAGAGACAGGTCTTAGACCAGCTTTGTCCCCTCTGCATTTTTTAAGAGGCTTTCAAAGGATCTGCATATTAGATTCTGGTTTTATATGTATTTTTGGACATGCACTGCAGGTGCAGAGTTCTTGTGTAGGAAGGATGGGACTGGACAGAAGTGGGATGGAACCAGGTCTGCCTGGGAAACTAACACAGATTTCTGTATTACCTTGGCCTGTTTCTTTAAAAAAAAATGTCTTTCATCCTGGGTTGCTGTGAGTTTTGTTACTGTTTGTGTCGCTGGATTTATGGTTAAATGAAGCGTGTAGCTGGGATATGAACTTCTTGAGTTTTCACATTGTCCCGAGTTTCTTTTTGCAAACCTTTAAACCTTAGCCCCTGGTTGATTGTGTTAAAACCATTATGAGAATGTTATTTAAAGTTGTATTATAATTGCAACCTCCACTAATTATTCAGTACTGTA